GAAAAACCTGAGAGCATGCTGGTGAGGAGGAATGCAGCAGCTGGAGCAGGGAAGCAAGAGGAAACAGGTGAAGTCAAAAGAGAGGAAAAGGTGGAGTTTGTAGACAGTGCAAAGGATCAAGGTTCCATTTGAAGTAGAAGTAAAGCTGCTGTAATCATTGTACTAATACATTGTTTCTTCACTTCAACTGTAAAACACATTGAAAAGGAGGAAGAGGGCACACAGAGTTGAGAGTTAAAAAAGCACTCTTAGATCTCTGTATTAAAGTGTGGTTTTACTGCTCAGTCAGACACTAAACAGCTAAAGGGATGTAGGGCAGACATAATTTTGGACTTTCGCCAGGCCCATTCAGTAGGTGTGTGTGGGTGATCAATAGCAAAGGATGCCTTTCATGGTCCCTGAGGACTGAAGTGAATTTTATTGAATGACACCTCATTTGGCACAGGCCAAAAGTATACGTGCAGTACACTTACAGGTGGTCACCTTTGAGCTTAGTAGTAGGAATCTGCAGCTGGTGGAGTATATGTGTGACAAAATGCTTGCCCAGTAACAAGATCCGCAGTCTCAAGTGGGTAAAAACAAAAACATATGCCACCATGTTTGGGGTGGTTTTTTTTGAGATGCAGAAATAGGGTTGTTGCTTGCATTGATGGTCTGTGGTCTTCTAAGTGGAGTATACTCATTTCTTCCCACAAGCCAATGAGTATTCTCTGCTTTCAACAGTGCTTTCACTGATTTTACCTAATGGTTGTGATTTGTCCCATGTGGTCATGTGCTAAAGGTAGAAAGTGAACTAGATCAATCAGAGCACTTGGAAATTGAAATGTCTGGATTTTTTTTCAGTTTCACATCAGAATTGTGGAAAAAGCTCTTCATCAAAAAAAAAACCCCAAACCCAAATACAATATCATGGATGTTAAACATCAGTACTGTGTGAAGAAATGCTTTAAGGGTTTCCATGAAACATATCAAGTGCATTATAATGTGATAACTATTTATTTTTCCTTTTGCTTCTATCCTGGATGTTATAAATGTGGTTGGCATAGATGATGGTTTTACAGTCACATTAATTTGCTTTTTGGTTACAATAAAGCAAGGTCATATTGCTCTTGGCTCTAGAAAACAGCAGCCTCTGGACATGTGCTAGTAATGCTTTTCATGTGAGCTGTGCTGTAAAAGCTGTTCAGTATTTTTCTATTTAGTCCTTTCTTCCTTCTTTAGTTTTTCCATTTAATGTCCTAGTTCTGTTGTAGACCTTGCAGTCAAAGGCGTCGAGGGTGTTCAGTGTTTGGCAGTGCCTGCCTATCCACTGGGGTCACTGAGTCTGGCAGTCCTAAACAAATAAGAAGTGAAGGGAATGAGATGAGAACTATCCAGGCTTCTCTTTAAGGCTGGCTATGATATAATGCTGCTTGGTGTTTGCTGTTAGTTAGGATTCCCTTTGGAGGTACTGAAGATTGCTGGGTAGGGCTGTTTCCTCTCTGCCATTTTCCATCATGCTGAGGCTAAACCCAGCATTTCTGAAAGCTGTTCAGTGAACTCCTTTATGTGCTGTTTGGCTGGCAAGTCAGCGCTTGCTGTCCAGACAATTAAAACTGGGATAACCATTCTGAACTGTGCATGATCTTGTGAGCAGTACCTACATCTCTGTAGTGCAAGGAGTGGCAGAACAGGCTTGGGGCCTCTGGATGCTGCTGCCATACAAACACATTATTTGTGTACTTTGAGCAGCAGCGAGATGTTCTATTCTTGGAGATCAAAGCTGTCAAAGGTGCAAGGTGAATTTTACCCTATAGTCCCTCAGGTTCAACAATAATGAAAAAGAATGACTGAAACTCTTAACAGGCTTAACTTTTAAAAGATTAGAGTCCTTACGGTGTGTTTTGTGGATGGTTTGCAAAAACTGTTGTTTCCTAAAAGCAGGAAGGTGGGAGAAAGCTCTGTGATGCTTAATGCTCTGAAAATTCTGGTAAAGAAACAAAGTAATTCTTGGTGTAGTGTTTAAAGTGTCAGTGCATACACTTCTAAGTGCAGATGATTTCAGCAAGTCTAGGTAAGAGCTAAACTTGGTCTTAAAGGAAGGTGTCTAAAGCTGACTGGCTTTTCATTTGAGCTCTGGAAAAGTTGGCTGGGTGGCTGCAGTCTGTATGCTGCACATTGGGATAAAACACTTGATGTAGCCTGAGATTCAGGGTTTGCTTTTGTGGACGAGGAGGCTCCTGAGAGACCTGCAGCTCTGAAGAAAGTCCTTAGAGCAGATCTCTTGATGTCAAGTACTTCAAATCTCAACCAGTGACAAATTGCCAGGGACAATTATTTTTATCTAAGAGTTCATTAATCTTGATTTTTGGAGAGCAAAACTCATTAACAACAATTTCAATACTCTGGTCTAGTGAACCCTGCCAAAAAAAAAAAAAAAGTCCCTCAAAATGGAGCAGGTAGAGCATTACCTTTTATTTGATGAAGATTGCTGTAGTAGACCAGATGTAACTTGTCTGTATATTTGGTAAGTTAGAATGATAATCATAGAATAGTTGGGCAAATAAAATGCATTGCTGCTATGAGAGTTATACTTTCAGCTTGTTTATCAAAAAAAAAAAAAGTTTTCTTTGTATTTGTGCCTTCCTTATTTTTATTTCTTACAGTTATCGAAGAGGAGAATGATTTTTCCATGCAGCTAGTATGCTTCTATTTATGCTTCTCTCTCCCTGTAAAAAGACATTCGTCTGTTTAGTGTGCCTTTCTGCCCCTTGCCCCATTTTCTCTCCAAATCTGTAAATCTGCATCTCAACTTCTCGTGACTATTATGAGGAAGGGTTGTACCAACTCTATTGCTTGGCAAATAATTGTCACCTTTAGCACTAATTGTACTTAATTTATATTTGATTTGTTTTATGGAGTAGTTGTAATAATTAAAGGAAACACTTTGTAAGAACCTAAAAGGCAGCCTACAAGATGAATAGTAGTTAATGTGGATTTTCCAGGAGGAAATTGTGTCAAGCCACCTGCTTTTCTTCTGAATCTTATAGATGCAGAAGAAGTAGTAGTAGATGTGGATAGCTTGACTCTGAAGCTTTCAAACTAATTTTCTCATGAGAAGCCTAGGAAAACAATGGACTACAGGAAATCCCATGAAAGACATACAAAATTATTTGATTATTTTGTTGGAGCATAACAGGAGGTCCAAGAAAAAATAGGATGAGATGTTTCAGTAGCTTTCTGCAGGGCTTTTAGCAGTCTCACTGGATTCACCAGTTTTCACCAATTTCTTAGGTCAATTTCATGTAGCATTGGGAAATGAACCTCTGGATAGTGACTGTGCTTGAAGGATGTGACAAGCTGGCAGGAGAGCTCAGTAACCTTGGATGCAGTTCAGTCAGGACAAATGCAGAATATTAGGCTTTGATAAGAGCAATCAGGTATGTAAGTGGAGAGTGGGTGAGGATTGGACAGGCAGCAGCCCCACAGAGGAGAGTTTGGTACACAAGCTGATCATGAGGCTGCAGCATTGCACAAGCTGCAAACATTGTGCTGGGCTGTACAAACAAGTGTGTTGTAAGTCAGACACAAGAAGTCACCAGCATGCTGGGTAGAGCTGAGGTAAGCTTCCTTTGCAGAGCCTGGTTTTAGGTGCTGTACCTGAGTAGTTTTTAGCAGTGAGAAGCGAGGTTCCACAAGGAGAATAACTTCTCCATCATAATGACTTCCTTTGCAACAGCACTCATATTGGAAGCAGGCAGTGGGGGCAGAGTGAGCCGTGCCATTTTTTTTTCCATGTCCTTTTGGAGCAGAACAAGGAGCATTTTGCCTAAACTGCACTAAAGCTATTGATCAAGGTATCCATTGGAAAGATTTTTCTAAATGCATGAGAAGTGAAGAGAATTTCTGGAGAATTTGTGGAGAGAAGGTTTGTTAATAAGCAGGTGTGATGAGCATTTCTTGGGAACAATTTCTGAAGAACTGTGGTGACTGCTGGGGAACAGCAGGTTCTGGTTTTTCTTGCAGCCCTGTTTGGTTCTGTAACCCAAGCATGAAGGGCTCTTTATTGCAACTGAATGGCAAGAAATGCCCGGATTGTGCTTGCCTAATGCTTTGCTCCTATTATGAACAAAATCAGACTTTCAACAGAGCAAAGCACTGTTGGTAGTAACAGTGGGGCTAAGAGTAGGTGATAGTGGCTCGGGTCTTTTGGTGGAAAAGTGGCTGGAACCCCAGAGCTGCTGCATCTCTGCCAAAGCACATTCGCCTGTGCAGCTTCCACTGAGCTCTTGCATCCTGAGCATGTCCCTGGCTGTGCTCTGGTTCATGTTGAGATACCAGCTAAGTGCCTGCTGTTGGCATCCTTCCCCCCTTCTTCACCTGCCCCAGCAGGTGCCTCCCTTCTTTGTAAGGAAGTCCAGACATGGAAGAAGGGAGGAATGAGACTGTGCCATCTTATGCAGCCTAGGTTTCACTTCAGGTGCACGCAGCCACGTTTGACAAAGGTTATGTTTCCTACTGCTGCAAGCTGAAGCTTTACATGTGGGTGGGTTTGTAACAAAGTGCTCCTGGTTTTTGTTGCCAGATAAATGCCTGTAAAGATAAGAGTGCTGATCTGAGCTCATACTGGCAGTTTGGCTTCTTCAGTTTTAGGAAAAATATGGGGAAATGCTTCATTTTGATAATGCAAACAACTGTGTTTAATATCGCTTGATAATCAGATGTAGGGATAAGTACTTGGATTCTTTATGCCTTACATTTTATTGCTCAGTTATTTGCTTCTGGAGAGCAAATTTTTGTTAGCAATAATCTAAATGAAAAATTGTTACCACTTAATATATATTGGTAAAAAACATGCTCAGTGTTTTCTTTGCATTTTATCAGAGGTTTTATATTTTTCTTTTTAATACTGAAGTACATATGCTGATCTAAATCTTTGTCTTATCATCCTCTGTTTTAGTCTTGTTGGTCATCTTATTTCTGCATGTATTTTGATTATTTGTGTATCTATTGCTTTGCAGGAGACAAAGATGGCAGCAAGGTGACTACAGTAGTGGCAACTCCTGGACAAGGTCCAGACCGACCACAAGAAGTCAGCTACACAGACACCAAGGTGATTGGAAATGGATCTTTTGGTGTTGTGTATCAAGCCAAACTCTGTGATTCAGGAGAGCTTGTGGCCATTAAGAAAGTCCTGCAGGATAAAAGATTTAAGGTGAGTCTATGCCTAAATTCATAGTATTTTCATGAATGTTATCTCCTTTTCCATGTCTTTGATGGCAGTGTTTTTGATTTTCTTAATTTATTTTCATTGGAGGACATAAACATACCTAAAACTTTTTGGGACTAAAAATTAAACAGATGGATTATGATACAAGCAGTAGTTTAACTTGAAAATCAGTGAGTCACTGCGATTATTTGTATTAGTGCAAGTCAGGAAGCTAAAAATCTTGATTTGATGTGTTGTTTGCAGGTTGCCAGGCAGATTTCTCAGACAGTGAGCTGTGGAAACAAAGGAAAAGCTTGTCTTAAGGTTACTTTTTTCTAGCATAAACGCTTTGCCAATCATTAGCAATTAAACTGCTGGAAGAAACAGAAGCCTTTAGGCTTTGTTTTTAGTTGCTGCCCCTATAAAATTGAAGGCTATATTTGAGTAAATCAGAAATTGTAAAGGCTAAGCAAGAAGATAAGAAATACTGAGCCCAGGGCAGTCTGGGCTGAAGGTCACTTATTTTTTTTGTTACCTGATGTATAAACGTGTTCTACCCTGATGCTTTTAATAGACTAGTGATTCTTTATTCTAAACTAGTAGCCTTGCAAAGAGAAATCTTTTTATCTAGTGATTTTTAAACCAAATAAAAGTTAAGAACCATAAGCCACCTCAACACTTCTGTTAGTCCTCAGCTTGGTACTTAATGTACTTGACCTCATTCCCTTATAGTCAGGTGGCCTGCAGATCAGCTTGTGCAAGCAATACATGATAGCAGAGGTACTGGTTTTAACATATCTTGTTTTCACAGCAAGACCTCATACACAGCTAGTTTCACTGGTAATATTTGTAATTTCTTGGTAGCAAAAACATTGTTTTGAAGGAACTAGTGTATGACTTCTCCTTGAGTCTTTAAATTTTGTGCTATCATCACCATATCAGAGATGCTTTAGATGAAAAATTGGAAGGATACATTTCAATTAGTGTAATGCTGAATTGTTTACTTCTAATTGAGGAAGGCATATAAAGTTCTTACATTTGAGTTATTTCTGGACTGTATTATGGGTTGAAGGTAATTAGTACTTGAGAAGCATGCAATATGATGTAAGAGTGCCTTATTTTAGGAGAATAAAGAAGAGGTAAAACAGAAAAGGAAAAACAAATTCTAAACCTAGTACTTAAAAGGAGCTTTTTGGTCTTTCCCATTGCCTAGGTTTAAGGGGGAAGGTCGGCATATTTCCTATACCCTGTCATGCTTGGTAGATGTGAGCTAGTGCTTTTGACAAGAATCTTTGATTTCTGTAGTCTCGTAACTCTTGAGGTTTTGCAGTGTGTCAAAATGAAAACTTGGCCAAGCATTTTAGTTCCTGATATTAATAGTTTGTGATAACTTACTTTTTTTTTTTGTTAAATCTCTCTTGGGCATCTAGAATAAAATGTTGGTCTTTGATTGCTTTTTGTTTTGGTAGCTGGTTTAGTGACGTTTTGTTATCTGACTATATATCTTTTTATTTTTTAGTGTTTTTTTAAGTGATAGAAAAAATTGTCTCTTGAATATTAGCTCTTTGTTAAAGCAAAACAGCTAAACTGAAAAGCGAAGTAGGGTGTTTCCAGTTTGAGCTCTGAATTAATTGTCTACATTTGATAATACAAGCTGAAAACATCCAATACCTGGAGGCTTTAGTATTGCTAAACTAGGTGTAATTAATGCTTAAGTCCATGTATAGATTTGCAGAGAGATAGCATTAATTGAAAAATACTTTTTTAAACTTCATAATTTGTATTGGTCACATCTGCAGTAATACCCAAGTTATACATTTTTTCATATTCTTATCCCAATCTTTTATACCAGCTACACAGCATCATCTACCTTTGGTCTAAGCTCCCTAGTTTTTCCCATCATTTGTCAGTTCAGTCCTCTCATTTTTTCACATTCTGATCTAGAAGTGTATGTTATGTTGGCAGGAGGTGTAAATTCTTGCAGGCTGGATGGCAGCCTCTGCCTGGACAGATTTGGAAGCTAGACAGATGTATATTATATTAAGAATAGCATACAATTTCTTCAGGGTATGCTACTCTTTGGGAATGCCTGGTCTAGGTAGTAAATGCTGGACCACATAACTTGCCAGTTAGAGAGGGAACTCGGAAAGTCTGTTGTCTGAATGGTTTGAGTGCAGTGTAGCAGCAGACCATCTCTTGTGTTCAGAGGGCTGAGCTGTGGTTGCAGCTCAGCTGGGCTGCTGCCATCTCTGCTTGGCTGCCCAAGTCCAGATCCAAGGCCTGGTCAGTGGAGTTCCCTAAGAAATCTGCCACTCCCCTCTCATCAATAAATACTCCCACTACAGCAATGATTGAGGGGGAAAAGCCCACCTTACTGCAGGCAGCCCAAGATAGTGGCAGCTTGTTTGATTAATTATCAAAGTGATAATGAATCAAACAAGAGAGGGAAAAGAGGATGGGGCACCTTAGAAATACCAGTCTGCGCTGATCCCAGCAACAAGAGGAAAGTGATGTATGGAAGTTCCTTCCTGAAATTTGAATAATGAATGAAATTTTCAGCTGTATGCTTCTGGCTGGTGGCTGCTTATCCCTGTGCTTGTCTATTGTGATATATTTGTCTTGGTACATGCACTATAATTCCTTAGTCATGATTTCTTCAAAAAATGCTTTGAGAAGAGCCAGCAGATAGTCTTGAAACTGAAAGGGGATGATTCAGAAACTTGAGAAAGTACCAAGAGAGTGTAACCTCTAGGCTCTTGCTGCCTTTTGTGAATGTAGAGGGCCATCATTGTGTAGGTCTGGAATATGCACCTCAGTTGCCAATTTTAGATCTCTGTCAGGAAGCTGAGATGCTTTTGTCCAGGTTTGAAGCTAGCTTGAAAGCTGGAATTACCAGAGGGGGGTTGCCTATTTTTATTTTTTCCTTTTCCATTACTATGACAAGTCAGCCTCCCAGCACCAGTCCAGACCAGAAAGAAGTTGAGTGTTAAATCAGTGCGGAAGAGTTGAATCTTACAGTTTCTGGATGGTAAAGATAGTTGGCAATGCTCCTTCTTCTTTCTACTCCCTTGTTGCAGTTCAGTGGTTCTTCAGTTTGACATTGCGGTGACTGCATGACTGTGTTTTAAACAGGGTCTCTGAATTGTTCTGGATTTTAGAGTGTGTGTCTAGAGTTCAGTGTAATGTACAGCAGTACTATAGGTAGGAACAAGTGGTAAGTTGTTGAAGGGAATAAATAAAATACCACCTAGAGCTTTATGCTTAATTTCAGTTTGTAGCTCTGCCTTCAGTAAGCTAGTTCTCCATACTAAGTGGGAGAAATTAAGTAATGTAATTTTGGGCAATTACCTGATACTTGAATCAGTAGTTCGCAAACTATGTGCTGTTTGTCATTAATCTGTGAAACAATTTAATTTGTTTAATTTAATTAACCAACTCTTATGGAAAGTTATCTTTTTGGGTTGGTAGATTTTGGATTTTTTTTTCCAGTTACAAGTTTAACAGGGGTGAGAGTGATGTTTCTCTTTGAAAAATAGTGTAAGGCAGCTGTTCACAAACTTTGGGGCCAAATTGCTTTCAAATGGCAAAATTTCTAAAAAACATGAACCTGGCTTTCATAGATCTATTCTGTATTTCTGCTTCTATTCCACAAATGTGTAATAATAGGTTCCTATGCAAAGCATCAATAGATGCAGTTAAAAGGTTCATAGTATTTTCAGTTATTTTCATTCATGTGTCTGTGCAGGCCCTCAAGTGACACAGCCTAATTGTGATGCTTGAAAAGAAAATACTGATAGCATAAAAATTCTTGCATTGCTTTTGTTAGCATTTTCATTGGAATATTCTTCAGATTAAGAGTCTGTCATGTTGCTGTCTCATCATGCAAAAACCAATAATAAGCAAAGAGACATGTTAGCATAAATAGTTATTTTTTGTTATTTCTGCCATTCCATTAAGGCTTTTAAGAAATCCTAATGAAATGAATGTGTGAATTGCTAGAAATATTTCACAGCTGACTGAGAATAAGTATTTAAATTTCTTCTATCTGAATTACATACTTGATGTTTCTGCTTTTAGCACTGGGCTGTTGAAATCTAAATGATGAAGAGAGTTTGTACTCCTCCTGCACCTTTTCAAACAGTCTAGATTGGGCATCACATTTCTTGTTAATGGCTCACAGAGACATAAAGTGTGCAGCAAGAGAAAGCCAAATTCTGTAATGGGAACCATTCATGCCATCCAGTCTGTCAAATCATTCATGGACTGCCTTGGTTTAACCATCCAACCGTGTGTGCCCTTGGCTTAGTTGCCTGAATTATTTAAATAGGCAGATCTTCTGGAGTGTGAGAGGATGTCAAACTTGGGCCCTAATGGTCCATAAATGTGAAGTACTGCATTGCTAAAGATGAGACCACTGAATAGTAGGCAGTGCTCTTTCCTATTTTTAGTTACGGAAGGAATAGGTGTTGTGAGTATTAGCATGTCTGTTGTTTCTTTGGTTTGGCTTGGTTTTGTGGTGTGTTGGTGTTTTTTTTTGTTGTTGTTTTTTTTTGGGGGGGTTGGTTTTTTGTTTTGTTTTGTTTTGGTTTTTTTGTTGGTTGGGGGGGGAGGGGTTGGTTGGTTGGTTTTTTGTTGTCGTTGGTTTTTATTATGTAAAGTCTTAGTGTTGATTTGAGCCTTAAAGCCCAAAAAGCAGCAGGATGGAAAAATAAGTTTGTGTTGAGGTGGTGTGTGTACTTTTGTGAGCTGTTTGAAATGTACTTTTGTGAGCTGTTTGAAATGCTTCTGAAAGCAACAGCTTTCCTTCAGTTCCTGCCTCAGATATATCAAACTGCTAAGTAGAAAAAGATCCTTTTCAAAGTAGCCCATATAGGCTGTTTGTGTTACCTTATTTACAGCAACTTTGATCATAGCAGCTCCCATGAAAAATGTAAAACCAGAAGGAAGACTTTCCATTGAAAAAATGACTAGGTGTTTAGGTTTTTTATGTTCTGCTAACTTTTCAA